GGGGTTGGTGGTCGGTTTGGTGGTTTGGGGGCCCCGCCTGTCGTCGCAGTATGTGAATTTCATGTCCATGGAGTGGCGGGTGAGGACGGTGCCCGAGCCCAGCGGGGCCTCGATGGCTCCGGGGTGGGCGATGGCCTCGCAGATCAGCACCAGGCACCGCACGGGCCCCGAGCCCGGCCCCGAGTACGTGCGCATGTGCCCCGCACAGTGCAGCACCTGCGGGAGCCCCAAATCACCCAAAAACACCCTAAAACACCCCAAAATCACCCCGCACAGTGCAGCACCTGCGGGAGCCCCAAATCACCCAGAAACACCCAAAAACACCCTAAATCACCCCAAAATCACCCCAAAAACACCCAAGAACACCCTAAATCACCCCAAAAACACCCTAAAAACGCCCTAAATCACCCCAAAATCACCCCAAAATCACCCCGCACAGTGCAGCACCTGCGGGAGCCCCAAATCACCCAAAAACACCCTAAAACACCCCAAAATCACCCCGCACAGTGCAGCACCTGCGGGAGCCCCAAATCACCCAGAAACACCCCAAAATCACCCCAAATCCACCCCAAATCACCCCAAAAACACCCCAAAAACACCCCAAATCACCCCAAAATCACCCCAAAATCACCCCCAAAACCACTCCTAAAATCACCCCCAAATTCACCCCAAAATCCCCTCTGGAACCCTCGGGATTTTTCCCCAAAATCCCCCAAAATCCCGCCCGGAAACCTCCCGAAAATTCCCGAAAATTCCCGAAATCCCGCCCAAAACCCCCCTGGGAGCGCTCGGGATTTCACCCCAAATCCCCCGAAATTCCCCCAAAAATTCTCCCTGGAAACTTCCCGAAATCCCTCTGGAACCCCTCGGGATTTTTCCCCAAAATCCCCCAAATTTCCCCAAAATCCCCCAAATTCTCCCCAAATTTCCCAAATTTTCCCAAAATCCCCCAATTTTCCCCCAATTTCCCCCCCAAATCCCCCAAATTTCCCCAAATTTCCCCAAAATCCCCCAA